CATAAGCACAAAGCAGAAAGAGAGGGATAACTTGTGCCATCTGCATAACTAAACAACACAAAACATTTAAGAATGAAGAGTACACGCTATACCAAATTCCTCCTCCCATGCAAACGAACATCGCAAAACCCATAGAATCAACACAACTGATATTCTTGGAAGTTGAGGAACGTGAACCTTCAAAAATTTTGTAATTCCCATATTGGCCCCAAAACTTAATGAATATTTAATATATTTATTTGTATATTTACAATTTTATCCTCTCAGCCATTCTTCAGTTTGTAACTCTCAATAATAATTTAATATATTTAAATATATATTTACAATTTTATCCTTTCACCCTTTCATCTTCTTACTTCATTTTATATTTATTTATTATTTATTAATAATATATTATTTGATCCCTCCAAGATCAATGATCATGATCCGCTCCTGATCATACTCTTGTGCTCCATGTGTCAAACGTGTCTAAGACTCAAGATAAAAAAAATTATAATTTTTAATAATGAAATTGTTTCGACTTCATGTATATTATAATAATACTTTTAATAATAATATTATTAAGATTAATTTTTATATTTAAGATATTATTTATTTTGAAACTATAATTAAAAACACATTAAAAAAATAAATAAATTATTTTTAATCACGATTTAAAAATCAGATAATATATATATATATATATATATATATATTCCTTTCAATTTATAAGATATAAAATGGGAATAAATCTTATTAATATTATTATTATTTATATAAGATTAAAATAATTTTATTTCTAAATAAATGAATATTATAATTAAAAATTAATTTTTTCTTTTTTTTTCTCTTTCACTTTTAAAGATATAAACAAATAACAATATTCGTATAATCGGAAATCATTAAAATAAATGTCTAATCATTTGAAGTATATTAAGAACCGTATTTTTCTTTTTTCTGTAATTTATTTTTCTTATTATATATTCTTTTCTTTTCTTTTTCTCCATTTATAAATCAATTTTAATGATGACTATTAATTCGATAAGTTTTCAAATGTTGAATGTTACGATAATGAATGGAGTTCTACTATTAAATAAAAAATAATGAAAAAAAATTAAATTAATAATGTTACATTAGATCGACGTCTTTGAAAGAGTATTTGTACAACGGTGGATTTGACACGTTTTACTACAACCCTAATTTCTGCTGACGTGGCCCTACTTGAAAAGTGGACCCACATGTACACGTGGCTCTCTTCTCACCACATTGTATTTCGCACAGTACTTTCATCGTATTTATTGTTTATTAAGTTTCATGCCTCTGACTAATACCTTTATGAAAAAGAACTTCATAAAAGAGGAAGTGAAAAGAACAAATTTATGCCAAAAGAAAATAATAGAAGACTTTTTTTTTTCTTATAATTGTTTGATGTAGAAATATAAATGGAAGTGAAGAATAAAAAAATATATTAAGTGAATAATTTTTTACCCATATATCGACTAAGGAAAGAAATATATAATATTTTTGATAGAATAACAATGATCTTAATCGTTCAAAATTTAAGAGATATTTTTTATTTATCAACTATTTTGAAAAATTTGAATAAATCATTATATTTATCCGAATATTTTTAATATTTTTAGATGAATGCAAAGAAAATATTAATGTTTAGATGGTTACTTAATGAGGGGTTGTTTTGATGTCATAAAGGTCAAGGATGTAGGGTCACACCATACAAATTCCTTATCTTTTTAAACAATTATTTATGTCATCATCCAACAACTAGGTAAAGTTTAGAAATTTTCGTCCCCAAATTACAATTAAAAAAAAGGAAAACCTCATCAAAAAAGTAAAGAGAAATTAAAAAAAAAACACTAAAATATTAATCGTGAAAAAAATGCAAAGATAACTTTTGAAAAGTATAATCAAATGTAAAAGCTCTGCCACAAAATCCTCGGAAAAGTTCAAGCAAAAGAATTGCTAGCTAGGTGATATTAACGTCATGCATTTTCAAATATTTTTATTCCAAAAGCTTAACCTAATTAAAAAATCACTAACATATATATATATATATATATATATATATTTATTTATTTAGTCTTGTTTTGTATTTTTTTCTTTTAAATTTTAGTTATTTAAACTAAAAAAAGGCGTTTTTCTTTTTTAAATATTAAATTGAAGAATCGAACTAATTTTTTGAAATTAATTTTAGTGGCCAAATAGTAAATTTCAAGGACAAGATAATATTTTTGAAAAAATTTGATGGACTAAAATAATTATATATGTTTTATAAAAAAGAGAGAGCCATATTTATACATTAAATACGAAATTGATCTCCAAAAATTTTACTTTTGATCTCGAATATTTTTTTGAACCCTTTTTAATTTTATTGTTCAAAGTGATATCTAATTAGGATAAAAAAACATTAAAACACAAAGAAATTATTTTTTTTATTAATTAAAAATAAAAACAACTTTTTTTTTTAATTTTTTTTTGAAGTATTAAATCCCAAAACCTAACCAGGAAATATATATTATATACATTGTTTGAGACAGGGTAATGAATTAGGGTTTATGCATGTGTGTAGTAGGAGTAGGAAGCAGCAAATGACATGGGTTTTATTTCTTCTCCCTACACATTAATGGAAGAAGATGCAAAGGCACATGCCCTAAACTTGTGAGGTTGTGGATGGTCACATGCCCCTAAGTTGTCATGGTAACATTTGGAACTTTCTATTCATATCCAAAGGTTATCACTTTGCATGTCCATTTCCAGTTTTCTTTTTCTTTTTTCATGGTTGGGATGATGTGACTTCTTTTCTTGTTTCTTACGGTTGGTATCAACGTGTCTCTCTACCTCTAATCTACTCCATCACAAAACTATTTGTCTTCTACTCTTTAGGTAAACCCTAACCAATAAATTGATGTTAAAAAAAAAAATTTATTAGATTGATCGATCACCAATTTATCTAAATAATTATTACAGATTCATAATTTTATTCCATCAACCTATTAGTTTTATCTAACTATCAATCTAAGAACTAAAACAGAATGAAATGAATAGAGTGTGGATCAGTCTTAAAAAAATTATATATTAAAATAAAAATAAAAAAATTATAATTTAAAATATTTTTTGTCATATTATTAAAATATATAAATATATTATAATATTATAATTTAAATTATAAATATTAATTAATTAAATTTAAATTATTGATTATAATTAACTATTTAATATATAAATATAATAATTTTTTAATTTATCTAATAAAAATATTAATTAATAAATAAAAATTTTAAAATTATTTATATAATTAAAAATATATATTTTTTTAAAAATACATATAAAAAATTTATATATATAAAAAAATACAGGACAATCTGACTTATTTTAATATCTTACCTATTAACAAAAGATAAGATTATTACTATTATTAAAAGATAAGAGGCTAAATTGGATATTTATGAATAAAAAATATTTTTTAAAATTTAAATAAAAAGAGACCAAATAATAATTTGACCAAAATTAATATCGGTTGGTAATAATTTAAAAATTCAAATTATGATGACGTTTATTTTGAATATAAAACTAATCATATTAAAAGAGGAATAGTTCATCATATGTCACTTAACTAATACCATGGTTAAAATTAAAAAAAATTGAAAAGTTTAATTAGTTTTTGTCTAATTATCACTGTCATTTTGTAAATATATAACTCTTTGTTTTTGATAATTTTTTATTCTAATATTCTAATTATAAGATTTGGTTAATTGTTAATCTTATGCTTAATGCTTAACCAAAATATGATGTAAGAATGCAATAGTCATTAAATTAAACTAAACAACTTGTGTTGTGAGAGACTAAATTTCTATGATAGAAAAAAAAATATATGTTGAAATAATAATCATAGTAAAGTGACAAAAAGAAGAATGAAGGCAATAAAAAATATGAACTAAACGAAGTGAGTGAGTGTTGTGACAGGGAAAAGGGAGAAGCATCTGGCTAGGACAAGGGAAGGAGGATCTATCTGTATCAGGCTTTGTTGTTGTCAATGTAACAACACGTGTAACAAAGCAACAAACAAAAACGTCAAAAGTGTTTTGTGGATTGCACCAACTTTCCCATCTAAGTCCTACACTTCTTCATGCAAACAAAGGGTATACTATACTATTATATATTTCTACTGTTATCGTTGTTTTTTTATTCAGTATTCATCCCTTTTTCTTTCTGTTTTTGGTCTACCCGTAATTTTTATTTTTGTTATTTTTTCTTTGGTGAATGAAAGGTGAAGAAATGAAGTGAAGTGAAGACAGTAATATTAGCAGAGGACTAAAAACTAATAGTAATGACCGGCTTGGTAGTCGGTTCTATCAATGTTTCTCTGTCTCTCTCATTTGTTTGCTTTTAGAAGCGGCAAAGTTAACTGCTACTCATACCAAGCTCTTACTTTTTGATCCTTTCTCTCTCTTTCTCTGTTTCTCTCTCCACAAACAATTTGGTTGGACCTGCAAGGAAGAGACATCTGCAGCTTCCATTGAGAGCAAGGAATTCCCGAAAAGCTTTACCTTGAGGGGTTCTCAAATTTCAAAGCACACTTTTTCTAGCTCATTTTGGTTGTGATTGTGGTGCAGTTGAGGCTTTGTGTTCTTGTTTGAAGGGATCAAATTTTGTTTGTAAATCAAGTGCTTTTTTATTTTATTTTGTTTTTGTCTTTGACTTGCCATGTTGGGTGGTTCTTTTCATATTAATTGAGTGTGGCCATTTTTAGGTGAAGGATTGGCCTATTTTTCATTATTATTATTATTATTATTATTATTATTATTTTTTTTTTGTAAATTTCTGGTCTTTGTACTTTGGTGCTTTCATTCTGATTACAGTGGGTGAGGGTGTCCATGGTGAAGATCGAAATCTGTGCTTGAGGGGGTTATGAATGGTGGGTGCTTCTTTGATCCCTTGGAGAATTAGAGGATTAGTTGGGTTTTGTGCGTGAAGAGAAGACGCTTAGACACCCCATTTGGAAAATGCCTGGAGTGAGCAGCAAAAGGAGGCTACATTTTAGCAAACTGTACAGTTTTTCTTGTTTGAAATCTCCTTTCAGAGATGGTCATTCCCAAATTGGGCAGAAGGGTTACTCAAGGGTTGTGTACTGCAATGATCCGGATAACCCTGAAGCAGTTCAGTTGAGTTATGGAGGCAATTATGTTTCAACAACCAAGTATACAGCTTTTAATTTTATCCCCAAGTCTTTGTTTGAGCAGTTCAGGAGGGTTGCAAATATCTACTTTCTCATTGTTGCGTGTGTTTCATTTAGTCCATTGGCACCTTTTACTGCTCTAAGTATTGTTGCTCCATTGGTGGTTGTGATTGGAGCTACTATGGCCAAGGAAGCTGTGGAAGATTGGAGGAGGAGAAAACAGGTATTGTTTTGTGTTTTTTTATTTCTTTCCTTCTTTTCAATTTTGTATATGTTATAACTTTATGCACCGATTGCCCCTCCCCCCTGGTTGTACTTTCTATAAAGGTCTTTGTTTATATATAAGTCCAATAAAATTGGACGATACTCAGTTGGCATTATGCTGCTATGAGTAAGCTTATATTTTTATTTTGTGATTTTGAAAAGTTACGAATGATTTGAAAAATGGGAGTACCTTTCTCCTTGCTAGTTACTACTGATGATCGAAGAATATGTTCACAAACTTCATCAGTTGCTAGAAAATTATTATGGTCTTATTGACATAAGTATATTTGAATGCTCTTCTGTTTCTGGAAAGTGAAAGGGGTATTGCAAAACTCCTTTCTCTTTGAACACAGCTAATATAAACATAATTCTAGTACATTCCAATATGTGTTAGAAAATTTTCATCTTCCTTAGTAGTTCTTAAAAAGATGATTCTACGAAATGATACAGTTCCACACTATTCTGTTTTGTTCAGTGCTGCTATATGCCTATGTAACTTGTTTGCCCTTTTTGGCATATTCTTTTTTCTGTTAGTCACTTGCTTTGGATGTACTTGACTTTTGTGCTCTGTTAAGAGTCACCCTTTTGGATTGCCTTTTTTGTTCATGTGTTCTGGAAAGACTTTTTTCCCCGTTTATATATCCTACATATCATTCGTGGATTAGAAGCTTTCCTGCTAAAATTCTTTATTTCTTCAGGATATAGAAGCAAACAACCGAAAGGTTCAGGTATATGGTAGAAATTATACATTTGTGGAGACTAGATGGGAGAAACTCCGTGTTGGTGATATCATTAAAGTGTATAAGGATGAGTACTTTCCTGCTGATCTTCTTCTGCTTTCATCAAGCTATGGTGACGGGGTTTGTTATGTTGAGACTATGAATCTTGATGGAGAAACTAATCTAAAACTAAAGCATGCCTTGGAGGTGACAATCCATCTTCATGATGAAAAATCTCTCCAAAAGTTTAGGGCTGTGGTTAAATGTGAGGATCCGAATGAAAATCTGTACTCATTTATTGGAACCTTACAATATGATGGTAAAGACTATCCTCTTTCCTTGCAGCAGATCCTGTTAAGAGATTCTAAGCTGAAAAACACTGATTATATCTATGGTGTTGTTATCTTTACTGGCCATGATACAAAAGTTATGCAGAATTCCGTTGATCCTCCATCCAAGAGAAGCAAAATTGAGAGGAAAATGGATAAGATAATCTACATTCTCTTCAGTACCTTGGTTTTGATATCCTTTATTGGTTCTGTCTTTTTTGGTGTTGAGACCAAAAGGGATATTAGTGGTGGAAGGTATAGAAGATGGTATCTTCGTCCAGACAATGCAACGGTGTTCTATGATGCTAATAGGGCAACACTTGCGGCTGTTCTTCATTTTTTGACAGCCATTATGCTGTATGGATATCTAATTCCGATATCACTTTATGTCTCCATAGAAATTGTGAAAGTTCTGCAGAGCATTTTCATCAACCAAGACCAAGAAATGTATTATGAAGAATCAGATAGGCCAGCTCATGCACGCACATCTAATTTGAATGAGGAACTTGGTCAGGTAGATACAATACTGAGTGACAAAACTGGTACTTTGACATGTAATTCAATGGAGTTTGTCAAATGTTCAATAGGGGGCATTCCATATGGTCGTGGTATGACAGAAGTGGAGAAGGCACTTGCTAAGAGAGGAAAAGGAGGGGAGTCTGATTTTGATGGTGGATCATCTGATTTCTCAGGCCAGAATAATGAGGCAGTGGACTCTCTGCATCCAATTAAGGGCTTTAACTTCAGAGATGAGCGCATAGTGAATGGGCAATGGGTTAATGAACCATATCCTGAATACATACAGAGATTTTTTCGAGTTTTAGCTATTTGTCACACAGCTATTCCAGATGAAGATAAAGAGTCAGGAGAAATTTCCTATGAAGCAGAGTCACCAGATGAAGCAGCTTTTGTCATAGCTGCAAGGGAGCTCGGTTTTGAGTTTTTTGCAAGGACACAAACAAGCATATCATTGCACGAGCTGAATTATGAAAGTGGAAAAAAGGTTGACAGGTTGGCTAGCTCTTTTTACCATGTTTTGTTGTAGTTATACATACATATCTGTCCCATTATCAAATATGTCCCGAATTTTGGTGGCCAAAGTTGTCATCTCAGACGAGTATACAATTTTTATTTAATAGAGTAGTTCAGCTTTTGTTGTCAACAAAGTTTGATCTGGCTTCTTACTAAAACAAAATTAGAATAGATTTTCAAAGATTTAATTGCCCTTCCTTTCATCTTTATATATATATATATATATATATATATATATATATATATATATATATATATATATATATATATATATATATATATATATATATATATATATATATATATATATAGATGCATAGATGTATGTATGTATTTTAAACTAATTTCACCGTATACAAGACCCATAAAAGAAAAAGTTCAATTACTGCTAATTTCTTGGATGATATAAATTATAGTTATAAGGAAATTTTCCTTTTGCAGAATAATATGTAAAGAGGAAAGATTCTCAGTGATCTTAAATCTGATTTTAGGATGAAAGATACAGGGGAAGGAAGTTATTTGCTTAAAAGCCTTTCATTCTGGGAAGAATATGGGCTGCAAGGAGGAAATATAGTAAAGGTCATGAGATTCAATATCGTGATAAAAGAGAAGCGAATAAATGTAAACGAAATTTACCAACTAAATGAAAATCAACTTTACCAAGGGGGATCTAACTCAATTGGTAGAGTACTATATGTGAATTGTTGAAAACCTCCTATTATTTGTGTTCAATTCCTTCGAATAAAAAAAATAATCTTTATTTCTCAATGCGAGAAAATTCTGACTTGAAATTTTATAAATTATTTGATACATATACTGCAATTGAGTGGTATATTTCTAGTTTGTATTCTGTCTTTATTTCTCATAAATTCTGTTAATAGGTTTGAACCTGTTTGATATATTTGGTCCATGCAAGAGAGTGATTTAAGATGCTTTTATATATCATATTATAATTTTGGCATATTTTCAATGTTTTGAAAATTTGTGTTTAAAATTTTTCATTGGGTTAATTTTTGACTTGTAGAGTGTACCAGCTTCTGCATGTCTTAGAGTTCAGCAGTTCCCGCAAAAGAATGTCAGTGATAGTGAGGAACGATGAAAATCAATTATTGCTCTTATGCAAGGGTGCAGACAGGTTTCTATTAATATTCACATACTTTTGAATAATGGAGTTGTTAGTAGTAAGCTGTGTTAGTGATGCCAAATTGTGTATTTCCCTTCATATATTCAGCGTAATGTTTGAAAGACTCTCACAACATGGAAGACAGTTTGAGGCTGAAACCAGGGATCATATCAAAAGATATGCCGAGGCTGGTTTAAGGACCCTGGTAGTCACATATCGTGAACTTGATGAAGAAGAATATAAATTATGGGACAAGGAGTTTTCAAGGATCAAAGCTTCTATAACAGAAGATCGAGATACACTGGTGGATGCAGCTGCTGATAAGATGGAAAGAGATTTGATACTTCTTGGTGCTACTGCAGTTGAGGATAGACTGCAAAAGGGGGTAAATATAAGCTTTTAAATCTACCTATTTATAATTATATAAGTTTCTGTATTTAATATTTTTAGAATCTCGACTTACGGGTTTAACTCAACTTCACAAAACCAAATTGTAAGGTGAGAATTGTCTAAGTTTCATTTAAGCCATATTTCTAGTTGATGTGAAACCAAAGGTGGAACCCAAAGAGGCTGCAATTAAAATGTACCAGGGATGACTGCAATTAAGGCATCTTTAACAATTTTATACTTAGTGAGAATAAAATAGAAGTTTCTGACAAAAAGATGAACTTCAGCTTCAGAAATATACCACTGAAACTGGGGAAAAAATGACCCTAAAAAAATTAGTTATGATTATGAACACTTATGGTCTTGATTAGTTTATAAAGCTTATTCAAATTTGAAATACAGGTTCCTGAGTGTATTGAAAAGCTTGCGCGGGCAAAAATCAAATTATGGGTATTGACCGGAGACAAGATGGAAACTGCAGTCAACATAGGGTACATTAACAGGGCTTGTTCTAGATTTTGTTTATATGAAAATTGCATAAAATTGAAGTTATTTCCCCTATTTCTTTTTACAGGTATGCTTGTAGTTTACTTAGACAAGACATGAAACAGATAGTGATCACTCTTGATTCCCCAGATATCCTATACTTGGAAAAACAAGGGGACAAGCAGGCTCTAGCAAAGGTACATGACCTTGAATTTTTTTGGCATTTGATTTTCTCTCAATATTGGAGATCTTTGATACAAGAATTTCTTAGGCTTCTCTTGAAAGCATTAAGAAGCAAATTGGAGAAGGAATATCGCAAATCAACTCTGCCAAAGAGAGTTCTGATACAAATAAAGGAAGTTCTTCTGGGTTTGGCTTGATAATCGATGGGAAGTCCTTGGATTATTCTCTTAACAAGAATTTGGAAAGGTCCTTCTTTGAGCTGGCCATTAATTGTGCTTCTGTCATATGTTGCCGATCTTCACCCAAACAAAAAGCTCGTGTGAGTAATATGGATGTGCAATTTGAGTTTCTCTGCCATATAAATAAAATAAATTCCTTGTGTAGTTGTGTATAATCATTGCTAGGGTTGTTAAAATATTATAATCATATCAGCCAGAAAAAATATGCAGGTTACAAGATTGGTAAAATTGGGAACAGGGAAGACAATATTATCTATTGGTGATGGGGCAAATGATGTTGGCATGCTTCAGGAGGCTGATATTGGAGTTGGCATTAGCGGTGTTGAAGGGATGCAGGTCTAAAGATATATTTGATTATTCCTATCTGGGTTTCACTTTTACCTGTCGTTAAAAAAGATTTATATTCTCCTAAACCATAATAAATGAAAAAATTGAAGAGATTTTTTAATATAACTTAGAAAATGTTGAAGAGCTTATAAGGAGTTTATTTGAAAGTGATAACTCTTATAAAAACTCTTGCTAGTTTATTTCAATAAGCTTCATGTGATGCTTATGAAAATCAGTTGTGTTTATCCTATTGTAATTGGTTCTATGTTCAAATTTAAGGCACACGATCTTATATGAGATAATAACTTACTGAAGATGTGCTTAACTAAGTTTTTTTTTTATCTGAATGTGCCCTTAATCTAACCAGGTCTATATGTTCTTAACTCTTTTGTGCTGTTTAACAAGTGGTCTTAACATGTTATTGCATTTGGATTATTTGAAATTATGGAGAAATTTACTTGTACATCGAAGTTGTCAAACTCACATGCATGCCACATAAGTTATTGGTAATGTTATTATTTACATAATAGAGTTGTCAGAAGTGACTTTGTCAATTTTCGTCAATTGTCCCCCTAACTTTTTTCTTCGTTCTTAGATAATACCTTAATATGTATAAGATATTAAATCCATTAATTGTTTCCATCAGGCTGATTTTTGTTAGGATATAAACATCTATTTTTAAGAAACTGTGTTCAGGTGCCAAACCCCATGAAGATGTTTAATGACAATCAAACCGCCATATAGATAGTGCCTAAACTCAGAAAATTCTCATTGTGAGAAGAAAGTTGGTTGTAATTTTCTATATTGGATTTGGTGATTGGTGTAGTGATCTTATCACTCAGCCTTTGGGTTGAGCACTTTTGTTGAACTGTGGAACAAGTTCGGTGTGATTTACATTTGACATCTGTTAGAATAATTACAAATGCTAAACATGAATAAAGCTAGTCTAATTTGTTATTCTTGCCCTTTACTTTCCATACAATTCCTTCCCCTTCCTTTTATCATATCTAAAATAAAATCCCAAAGTAGATTACTAAGTTGAAGGGATAGAAATTGAGTGGAATTGTTTAATGTATGAAGCTTTCGTATTTAGTTTTTGACATAGTTGTGTCACCTATCATATTAGCATTGATAATTCCCCACTGCATTTTTCCAGTACCTTTTCTTTCTCTTGTTAAATTGAACATGGAAAGAAAACCAGAACTGTACTTGCTGCAGAGGCTAAGGCAATGAAAACTTCGCTGTTTCATATACACAAGAAACTTAAAACCTTTATATGAAAGTAACTTATTGCCTTATAACTAACACTGAAATCATGGTTTAAAACTATACCACAATCACAACAACGTATAAAAATAACCATAATCAAATAACACCAAGTAACAAGTATATAAAAATATTTGATCTGGTAACAACTACTCCACATCAGCAGTCCTAAACACATCATTGAACATTTCTTCATGTACATGCCAATTTTTGTATGATAAGTTATGACTGGGTCCCAGTTTCTGATTTTTAACAAATATTATCTACAGGCTGTAATGGCAAGTGATTTTTCAATAGCTCAATTCCGGTTTCTTGAGCGGTTGTTGTTGGTACATGGCCATTGGTGTTATCGGCGTATATCAATGATGGTAAAACCAAGCATCCATCTATTTCTCCAAGTCTTAAGAGATTTAGTGTTCACCTACTCATCGCTTTCACATTCAAATTTGAGTTCCCTCAATGTTCTGAAAAGAAGAGTATTAATTATTTTCCTTTTTTTTGTCATATTTTTTAACCTTCATGAGTTGATCGGTTTATTCCAGCTGAAAACAATGTTATAATTTTCTGTTTGCAATGTTAGAGTATTACTTGTGTTTTGGAATGCATTAAACCATATCATGCATTCAGATAAAAATTAGGCAACCATGTCCACAAAAAAATTGCTGCTGATAACCTGTTGAATTTTTTTTATGCAGATATGCTATTTTTTCTATAAAAACATTGCATTTGGATTTACCCTTTTTTGGTTTGAGGCATATGCTTCTTTCTCTGGTCAAGCTGCTTACAATGATTGGTACATGTCATTTTACAATGTCTTCTTCACTTCACTTCCAGTAATCGCTCTAGGTGTTTTTGATCAGGATGTTTCCGCCAAACTTTGCCTAAAGGTATTATGTTGTCATTTTTAAAAAATTTATTGTGTATGTATTAAAGCATATTTAAGAACCAGCAGATAGATATATACATACTTCTATGTCGCCAGTTTATCTTGGACCTTTTGATAAATTATGTTACATTTCAACAAGACATTATATTTATAACTGATATGCCATCAACTTAAAGTTTATGTTTATTATTTATTTTGCATATAAGTCTTGGTTCTGCCTCTAAGGCAATGGAAAAAGGAGTGTGTTATCAGTGAGGTTCCTCCATTCACTCAAATATGCCATCACTGATTTCAGATTCGTTTTGATAATTTTAAAGATTTGTTTCTCTATGCCTGAATACATTTACTTTGATTGTAGAGTTCTTCATAAAGCATTATCAACTTAACTTTGATGTAAAATTCACCGAAATACTCCGAATGCCTTGAATTTTCTCTTATCCTAGTGTTTTAATTTCTACATGCTTTCTACTATTTTACAAAACTAGCTTGTACTAGATTTAAATATGCTTATCCAATCTCTCTTTCCCTCTCACTAGTTGAAAGTATTTTTTTTTCCTATTTTGTGGAAGAAAACTATTCGCTCTGTCAATTAGTTTTAAGATGAAATTTACAAGTCATTAGAGCCTATATACCATCCCCGTTTATTTCCTATCTTGTGAAGCATAGCTTGTTATAGCAGGAAATCCTCGAATGGAACTTATTTACGTTAAATAACTTCACTCGGTGGTAGTTGATTTTAAGCATGGTTATGAATGACAGCTGGCAGGTCATAGCGGAGGCCATCCACCATATAATTTTGGCCTATGGCACCACAATAGTGGGCCTACCTTCACATGGCATGTTTAGAAGTTCCACTTAATTCTTGAAGAGTGACTTATATATATATATGTTAGACAATGCTTAATTTCAATTAGATTTAAATTGAAATCTGACAAGAGTAATATCATCAAATTCAGTACAGGGCTGTTATGAAATAAACCAACAGAGAACTATTTTAGGAAAAATCAAGCTGTTTTAGGAATACATTGTGACAGGATCATGATTGTATAATTGTCCAATTTTAATTACACGTGAACGCAGTTTCTTTTATTGACTAATTGGAGACAATGCCTCCAAAACAAATGAATGCTGATTTCTTTTCCTTTAACATAGGGGTCAGAAAATGCCACAATATCATTATAGCAGTGCTATAATGGTTATTTAACGACATTGGATGAAATCTAGAAAACATATGCTCTGTAAAATTCTTATGCTATTCTATTGATGACATGTATACTGTTTTTTTCTGGGGCACCTGATTTTAAAATAATGATTAGTTGAAAGTGAGATCCTGTGCTAATCAATAATCTTATTGTCTGTTTTACAGTATCCCTTTCTATATCTAGAGGGAGTAGAAGACATTCTGTTCAGTTGGCCCCGGATTCTTGGCTGGATGTTGAATGGAGTCCTTAGTTCTTTAGTGATCTTCTTCTTAACCACTAATTCTGTCTTGAATCAAGCCTTCAGAAGAGATGGTAAGGTGGTTGATTTTGAAATACTTGGGGTCACAATGTATACATGTGTGGTGTGGACTGTGAATTGCCAAATGGCACTATCCATCAACTACTTTACTTGGATACAACATTTTTTTATATGGGGCAGTATCGCCTTCTGGTATGTATTTGTGTTGATCTATGGTTACCTCTCCCCAGAAATATCCACAACAGCTTACAGGGTTTTTGTGGAGGCATGCGCTCCCAGTGGTCTATATTGGCTAGTTACCCTTTTGGTTGTTGTGTGTGTGCTTCTACCTTATTTCTCCTATAGGTCTTTCCAAAGTCGGTTTCTTCCAATGTACCATGATATTATACAGAGAAAACAAGTAGAAGGGATTGAAATAGGCTTATCTGATGATGAGTTACCTAAAAAGGTCCAGGGCAAACTAATACACCTGAGAGAGAGATTGAAGCAAAGGGAGTTGTGAAAATGTAAATGCTTCTAAACGTACATTCTTAGAGCTTGAAATTGTATTTGGTTTCTTGCTAAGTTGGGAAGTGGCATTGAAGTAGTGAGCATTGCAAATAGCTTTTATTTTTTATTTTTTTTCTTTCCCCCTTGGTTTCCATTTGTTTATAAAATTAGGAGAGGAGAATTTGTGTAACATTCACATGATGTAGATTAGCTAATGTAAAGTTTGAGTATTTGCTGGACCGAAAACGGTCCTTGTATTTGTTAAAGGACGAAGGATTAGATATTTTACAATATTATATATATATATATATATATATATATATATATATATATATATATATATATATATATATATATATATATATATATATATATATATATATATATATATATATGATCTTTATTATCTGACGGAAGTTCCAAAATCAACATTTGAAACATGATATACCTGTGTATGTCTGTGGGGGGTTCATGATATTAATGTCCACTAAAAGACTAATAATAGTTCAATATAAGATAAAGAAGGTCTGGTTAGGATTTTGATTTGCAAACTGGTGTGTACAGAAAATACATGTTGGAAGGAGTAAAGTTTAGTATCTTAGGGATATGAAGCCATGTCAAAAATTTGTTAGATGAGATAGTTATAGTAGAATATTCTTCTGGTAAGAAATTAATATCAATGCATGTCCACAAAAGCATAGGTGCTGACAATGAAGATAAAAAGAAGTCTAAGAAGTATGATTAAAACTCAACAAATTGATCTACACTTAAAATAAGCTTCAGACTGACATACAATATGATTCTACAACATAAAACTCCTGCTTCCTAACAAAAAGCCAGGGTACACAAACATGCATAAATCCAAATTAACTTCAGTGATCAATTTTCTCCACTTGGGGCTCCATGATAGATAGTTAACACTGTTAAAAAGAGAATAAGAACTTCTACAGTATTCCTATATTCAAGAATTATTTGCAATAATAAGAAAACAGGTTATTCAAAAGGATTTAAAGTTCATGATACGTAAAGGGATCATAGTTTTATGTCTTTATTGCCATATAACTGCTTAAACTTGATCAATATCACTTAACATTCAATTTTCCAGCTTGAACTTGATCTACTAAACAAGTAGGTTAAAATAGTTCTAAGGAAGTGTTTTTGTAAGATATTTCTTAGATGGCACTCCAATTCTTCAAATTCTTACATACTCATCATGTCTTTACATCGGACTATCATGAGTTTATTAACCAGCAAGACCAGACATCGGTAAGGACGTACATAGCTACTAATTAATACCATTTCAAGAATATAGTTTTTTCAGATAATTGTTATTTGGTGATAGACAAAATACTTAGAATCTTGGTTAATTAAAACACATTTGATGCAGAATATATATATTTTAAATAATCAATTAAGAGAATATGCAAGCAACAAAATACTATATGCCAAGTCAGATTATGGATGACAATTAAACTCCTATTCGTGGGGATCGATCTATATTCGTCCCAAATCTGACGGGAAAAACTCGAGTTGATCGAGGGCTGGGACGGGCGGGTTCGGGTTTTCTCCGTTTTAAAAGTTGAGGCGGAGATGAGAATGGGTAATGCAATTCTCACCCCGACCTCGTCCCCGTCCCGATTTTATTTTTAAATTTAAATTTTAAAATATTAATATTTTAAAATTATTTTTTTTTCTTTTTCTATTACATATAAGGTCATTTTTTTATATTTCACCAATTTTTTTCTTCTACCCACTTTTTATTTTTTTTGTCTTTTTTAATCTTTTATATCAATTAATTTATTACATTATTCTTTCTCTTACTTTTCAGTTTTTCACATTTTTTTAATCTCTCCCATCAATTTGTTTTTTTTTTCAATTTTTTCAACCAATTCGATAAACATAAAGTTAATTTTTTTTATTCTTTATCTTTTTCTAAATATTTTACATAAATCTTAATAGTAACTAATATTATTTTATTTATAATTTATATTTATTAGGTTTTTATTATGTCATATTTTTTTTATCTTATTATTCTTATTTATCATATATCAAATTTTATCTTAATAAAATAATTGTATTTTAAAGGATTAAAGGAATTAATAATTTAAACTTTTATTACTTCGAACTAATTGAATAAGAATTAATTTATTAAATATTTTCTTATAAATTATATATTTCATATTTTTAAATGACAACTTAAAAATGAATTAACTTTATATATATAATCAAATGTTTGAACACAAGTATTATAATAATAATGTTATAAATATTCAAATATTTGAATATAGTGTTATAATAATAATAATAATGTTATAAATAAAAAATGATTAAATATTTCTTTTACATACATATTTTAATATAAATATAATAAATTAAAAAATATATTTAATTAATAATAATTATAAATTATAAATATTTATTTATATATAAAAAATAGATAATAAAATTAATTTATTATAAATATAATTATCTTTTTAAAAATAATATAAATTAGAAACGAGACTTGAACATGAAACCTAAAACTTCAAATGAAAATAGAGATTAAAAAAAGTAAAAAACTGAGAGTAAGAATCGAGGAGGCAAATCACGCCCGTCTTGGTCCCATTCGGAAGTCAGATGAATAGTGATTTCATCATATAGTATTTTTTGAAAATCAAGATGTCAAGTTAATTAAGAAATGACTCCTTAAACACTTTGCATGATTTTCAATAATTTTATTTTTAGTTTTAGTTTTTAACTAGTGTTTTTGAGTACATACATTGGTTAACAAGCCTATGAAATAAACACGTGAGTGACACAATCCTTGTGAGAATTCTTGAAAAATATCTCCAAAGATCTACGGCTTAATAATTGACAGATATCCATTGATGGATTACAGCTGTGAATGTTAACTGTTGCTTCACTGTGGCCATTAATTCTCTTATGATACAGATTTCCTACTCTCAGAATTCTGTACTTTCACATACCAAGTTCATTGAAACCGTTGAATATGAAAATCAAACTGCTCACATTTTATAATGGTGAGAGAATCTTATCCATATATGAACCATCAACTTAATCTAACGGCCACCGTTTACAGCTGGCTGAACCGGTGAATGTAGCGGAATCTTTGTGAAACAAAGCTGAGAAAATTTATGTTGTCAGAAATACTTAAAAAAAGTTATTGGTTGAGTAGCCATCAAAGAAAAAAATGTCTCACTGTCCTTAAAGTCAAGTCATTCTACACATTCATCAGCATAGCATCCCTGCACTGTATCATTGTCGTAAACTGCACTTCAAATTACAAACTTCCATTCATCATCCACTCCCTTTCAAACTCCCACCATGGCAGCAGATATTGTTGGTGGTGCTCTTCTTTCTGCTTTCCTTCAGGCTGCATTTGACAGGCTCGCTTCCCCTAGAGTTTTAGACTTCTTTCCTAGAAGAAAACTCGATGAGAAGCTGCTCAACAACTTGAACATCATGCTGCACTCCATTGATGCTCTTGCTGACGATGCAGAACATAAACAGTTCAGAGATCTACGCGTTAGAGCATGGCTTTTCGCTGTCAAAGACGCTGTCTTTGATGCAGAGGATCTCTTGGATGCAATCGACTATGAACTCACCAAATGCAAAGTGGAAGCTGAATCTCAACCTCAAACCTTCTCTTACAAGGTATCCAATTTGAGTGGCGGATCTTGAAGTGAAGCTAAATAATATATTATTAATAAATAATAAATAAATATAAAAGAAATAAAAAATATAAAAGGGTAAAAAGATAAAATTGTAGATATATATTTAAATATATTAAATGATCATTAAACTTGAGAGAAACAAAATCATAAATTATATGAGAGTTACAAAACTGAGGAGGGACTGAGAAGATAAAATTGTAAATATACTAGTAAATATATTAAATGTTCATTATGTTTGGGGGACCAAAATCATAAATTACATGAGAGTTACAAAACTTTGGAGGAGGGACCACGACCCCTCTCAGCTCCCAAGAAGATCCTGGCGATGGAGTCTTCATCGGTCCACAAATATCTATGTGGATCAACTCCAACAAGTCGTTTGCTCTCCAAGTTTTTCCCGTAGAAAATGGTAATCTATGTTGCTTTCCCATAAGACATCTTTCACAAGCTTCACTACTCTCCTTAAGGTTTGGTAGATCTCTCATCATGCCTTTTTGATGTAGTAACTTTAAGGCATGAGTATTGAAATGGTCAAATCTAAGATGCCATAGTCACGAGTTATCAACTTCTAATTTCTTGGCAATGTTAGTTCCTCGATTGAAGCTTACAGGAAAACTTCTATTTCTCTTTTCCATTTTTACTTGGCCAATCTCTAGATTTTTCTTATAATAGATAGTGCATGTATCTCTTTCAAAGTGGAGAGTATATCCTTTCTCCATCAATTGACCAATACTTAAGAGATTTTCTTTAAGATTGGGAACTAGTAAGACATCATTGATAAGTCTCATACCTTTATTGGTCTCCACCATAACACTGTCTTTTCCTTTTGACTCTACCACGGTGTCATTTCCCCATCGCACTTGAACTTTGATGGAGTTATCAATTTCTTTGAAGATGCTTGGATCATTCACCATATGGTTGTTAAAACTCAAACAAAATTGACTGATGCAATTCAAAAATGTATTCTGCATATTTATTCAGATACTGGAGATGGCTTTATAAGCCTTTACAAATAAACTGATTAACAACCTACGTGAATAGTGGACGAAAAACTAACACCCCTGCATTCACTCTTCCTAGAAATCGAGGCAGTTATTTAATAAATATCAACACGTAAAAATAGTCAACAATCCCTCCCTTAAGCTTTTAGCTTATTTCAGTAGCCTCCAGTACTCCAAGCATACGTCTGATCTTCTCAAATTGATCCAGTTTTAAGGCTTTTGTCATTATGTCGGCCAGTTACTCAGTTGTGCTGCAATATCTTAATTTAATTACGTCATCGTTAACTAGATCTCTGAGAAAGTGAAACCGTACTGCAATGTGTTGCTTCTGCCATGGAAGACAGGATTTTTAGACAGCTGAATGGTTGAATTATCTCACATAAAATCTCAGTAGCTTCTGTTTTTTCTATTCCAAGCTGGTCTAAAATTCTTTTAAGCCAAATGCATTGACAAACACAAAATGCTGCAGAAATATATTCAGCCTCAGTGGTAGACAGACTTACTACAGGTTGTTTCTTCGAAGCCCATGATACAGCTGTTGTTCCTATCATGAATACTGCTCCGGATGTACTTCTCCTATCATCTGTATCTCCTGCATAGTTGCTGTCACTATATGCAGTGAAACTTATTTTTCTTCCTTTTTTATAGAAGAGACCATATTCAATTGTGCCCTTAAGATATCTGAGAAGCCGTTTAACTACGGACCAGTGAGATTCCTTGGGGTTGGCCATGTATCTACTAACTAAGCTTGTTCCAAACATTAAGTCCGGTCGTGTAGTTGTTAAATACATGAGGCTACCAATGATTTGCTTAAACTTTGTGGCATCTATTGGTATTCCCTCGTCATCTTTGGATAGCATGGTTCCTGGTACCATGGGATTGCGTACGGGATTGCTGTCTAACATATTGAATCGAGCTAGTATCTCACGTGCATACTTTCGTTGACAAATGAAGATGCCTGCTTCATTTTGAATAACTTCTATTCCCAAGAAATATCGCATTCTTCCCAAATCTGTCATATCAAACTCCAATTGCATTGATCTTTTGAACTCTTCGCAAATATCTTTACTATTGCTAGTAAAGATTAGATCGTCCACATACAAACTGACAATCAAGATACCGTTTCTGGCCTTTTTCGTGAACAGAGTGTGCTCACTAACACAACGTTCAAATCGTTCTCTGATAAAATATGCTTCAATTTTACTATACCAGGCTCGTGGTGCTTGTTTGAGCCCGTATAAAGCTTTTCGAAGTTTGTGAAATTGGCTTTCTCTACCTCTTTTAATAAACCCGGTGGGTTGTTGAACATAAATCTCTTCTGAAATTTCACCATGTAAAAATGCACTCTTTACATCAAGCTGAAAAACTTCCCATGCATTCTGGGCAGCCATAGCTAGTAACACTCTCACAGTGTCAAGTCTCGCGACTGGGGCAAAAACTTCCGTGTAGTTGATGCCGTAGGTTTGAGCATAACCTTTGGCCACCAATCTGGCTTTGTATTTTTCTATTTGTCCTCTTTCGTTGAGCTTTGTTTTGAAGACCCACTTCACTCCTATGGGTATCACTCCATTAGGTGGGTCAACTAGTTCCCACGTGTCGTTCTTCTCAATGGATTTCATCTCTGCATCCATGGCTTCCCTCCATTGTTGGCTTGCATTTGCTTCTTCAAAAGTGTAAGGATCCTCAGCGTCGGTTGTCACCATTGTTAGTAGATTCTCTTCTTCTACAAACAAATTAGTTTCATAATCCGTTAACCATGCAGGTTGTCTCCGTGTTCTTGTTACCCTCCCTTGATCTTGAGGGTCACTATATTCTGCATCCAGGGCTGGTTCAACTATTTCTGTTTCTGGATTATTTGTGTTGTCTCCAGCTGTTATGGGTTGTACTATTGAACCCTCACTGTCGTCTTCGTCTTGGTCTCCCACATCAAGAGCAATAGATGTACTTTCTGTTTTGCTTTCATCCCAATTCCAGTGCTTATCTTCTTCGAACACCACATCCCTGCTTACTATCACCTTCTTTGTAATGGGATCAAAAAGTTTGTAACCTTTTGTCTCATCACTCACACCTAAGAGAACACATTGTTGACTCTTGTCATCCAATTTCCTTCGTCGCTGATCTGGAATATGAACATGTGCAATGCATCCAAATATGCGAAAATAATCTACACAAGGTTTGATTCCACTCCATACCTCTTCAGGTGTCTTGTATTCAACTGCAGTTGTGGGACTCCTATTCTGAATATGAACACACCATTTTATTGCTTCAGGCCAGAAAGTTTTAGGAACCTGTTTTTCATGAAGTATATCTCTTACTGCATTCATAATGGTGCGGTTCTTGCGCTCTGCAACCCCATTTTGTTGAGGGGTATAAGCTGCTGTGAGTTGTCTAGAAATGCCTTGCTGGTCACAAAATTCTGAGAATGCTTTAGATGTGAACTCCCCTCCTCGATCAGTCCTTAGACAGACAATGTAAGTTCCAGCTTCTTTTTCGACACTGGCTTTGAAACTTTTAAATGCATTAAAAGTCTCGGATTTTTCATGCAAAAAATAAATCCATGTTTTTCGTGAATAATCATCAACAAAACTTAGTATGTACCTTTTACAGCTATTTGAGGTTGGTGAAATGGGACCACATATATCATCATGAACCAATTGAAGTTTCATTGATGCACGCCAGGAGCTTTGTTTTGGTATGGTGTTTCGATGTTGCTTGCCTATGAGACAAGTAGTGCATACAATTGTGGACAATTTTACTGAGGGTAGCCCGATCACCATTTGTCTTTGAGAAAGTGTGTGGAGTCCCTTATAATTAAGATGCCCGAACCGTCTGTGCCATAATTGTGTTTCTTTCTCAGAACAGTCTTCAACTTGAAAGCATTTGGGCTGCTGAGGACACATCGAAGCTGATAAATAAAACATATGATTTCCTCTCATGGTGCTATGGATAATCAACCCTCTCTCTGGATGGAAGATTTTGCATGATCCATGTTGAATTAGAATCGTAAGGCCTTTCTCTTGTAATTGTCCAAGACTCAGAAGATTGGTTTTAAGTTGTGGAACATAGTAGACGTTTGTGATGACATGAGTAGTGCCGTTTAGCTGGACCCGAATGCTCCCTTTAGCGGTCACCTCCAATGTAGTATCATTACCAAGCTTGACACTTTTGTGTAGTCCTTCCTCATGTATTTCAGTAAACCAAAGTTTATTGCCGGTCATATGGTTGCTACAACCTGAGTTGAGAAACCAATCTTCCATTTGTACCGAGTGTTTCACCTCTTCATATGCAACCAACAAGATTTCATCCTTAGTTGTTGTTGCTTCTTCAGATGTCACGTAATGAGCTTGCCTCATTACTCTAGGGCACTCGTATTGGAAATGACCCCGTTTGTGACACTGAAAACACTCAATAAGGGCTTTATTAAAAGGTTGTCGTCCACGTCCTCTCCCTCGTCCTCGACCTCCTCTGCCACGTCCACGACTTGCCCGATCATCTTGCGTGACTTGCAATACCTGTTCTTCTGGTGGTTGAGAATCTTGCATTCGTTGTTCATGCACGAGCAGACTCCCATGGAGTTCATCAAGACTCAAAGTGCTTAGGTCATTGGATTCCTCGATAGAACACACCACATAATTGAATTTTGAGGTTAAAGACCTGAGAATCTTGCTAACCACTGTGCTAGACTCCATTGATTCGCCGTTGGATTTCATTCTGTTTACAACACTCAACATGCGTCCAAGGTAGCTGTCGACTTTCTCTCCGTCCTTCATTGTTAGGAGCTCAAACTCACGTCGGAGAGCCTGGAGCTGAGCACGTTTAACCCTTGTTGAGTCTTTATACTTTTGTTGCATAGAGTTCCAAATTGCCTGTGACGAACCTTTGTCTAGAATTGTTTCCAGAATCTCTCGATCAATAGACTGAAATAAAAAATTCTTCACTTTTAGATCTTTAAGATGCGCATCTGCTGTAGCTTTCCTTTGAGCCTCTGTTGGTGCCGCATTCAATG